AGCCCTGGATAAGATGACTCTGCTATTTAAGTAGGAAGCGCATAGTTATTCAGCACACATTAAGATCTATGAGTGGAGGTGATGTTTTACTGGATTAAGGACTAGATTTGACCCTCCAACTTCCTTTCAAGAGGAAGAGCTGCCCAGAGCTCCCGAGCCTGTTTATTTTCCTTTCCTGCCTGCCGTGGCCTTGATACACCTCAGAAGTCTCATTTTTTCCCCCTCAGCTTTCAAATCTGGAATTTTCCTGGTGTTTGGTTTTAAATATTCTCCTGTGAGAACTGCAACTCAGTCACTGTACTGTCATGTTGAAGAGCCTTCTGGAAAGTAACTAGCCTTTAACCAAAAGTGAAAGCAGCATTGCCAACTCTCATGATTTTCTCATGAGCCTCAGGAGAATGATTCTTTTCCTTAAAGCCCCAGCTCCTGGAGTCAGGTGGAGGTGTGATGATTTCAGCCTTCCTTCTTAAAGAAAAATGAAGTTTCTCGCCCTTGTGGCTGTGGAGAATGCCTCAAAATGAGACCCCAGTACACCCGAAAGGCTCAAAAAGCAGAAGGCAAATAAAAAACTCCAAATCTATTATTTTTAAAGCCAGTCTCACTATTTTGAACATTTGGAGTTGGCAATACTGGGAAAAGGACTTTAAAGTGTCAGTTTCACTCCTGTTTAGAGTCAGCGTCAAGTTATTATTTGTAGTGGGGTAACACCCCTAGAACCCCAGGCACCTGCTTTATAAACTCACGGGGTCTTGCCCTAGGAGGATGCTTCCGAACGTTAAATGATCTATTGCAAACTTGGTGAACGGCAAAAAACAAATAAACTGATAGGAACAAATCCAGATTTTTCTACAATTGTTTCAATTGTTGTATTCAAGAGTTACCAAAAATTCCCAAAACCTAACCGGTGTCCCTCACGTGACTTGACACAAGCTTTGAGAACATGTTTGTATTAGAGCTGAGTGGGTCTAATATTTATCTAATGCTCTTTTTTAATGTCAGAATTAGATCTGGTGAGCCTGTCAGCAAAAAAACCTCAAGAGTTTGCAGGTGCCTAAGTAGCCCCTGGAATCACAGTTAAAGTTGCCCCCCCCACACACACTCAAAATCTGAAATGCCTGCCCCGTGTGAGGGGTTAGTCCCCTGCTCACTCACTCCCCAAAGCTTGTTTGACCAGATCCAGGAAAAGAAATCTGGCTGGCTGCTGGGAGGGGCAGCCCCTCACCCTCTCCTACCCCATGGGGCGGGGGAGCTGCCTTGTGTCCCCCCCCCCCCCCCCCTGCCCCAGGCTCTCCCCTCCCCCAGCCAGTCTGCGCTTGCTCTCACAGTTTCCCTCCAGCCACCCCACATCCCCCCTCCCCCTGCATCGCCCCATCATCCCTGTCCCTCCCCCATCCCATCCTGCCCGCCTGCATCCCCATCACCCGCCTCCTCCCCACAAGTCCCCCTGCATCTCTTTATCCTCTGCCCCCTGCAGCCCGGGGGTGACGGGGGGGGGCGGGTCTCTCTTACCTTCCCTCCGAGCGGGGCCCCCCGGGGCAGGGGCCGGGCCGGGAAGGGGCCCTGGCCGGGCTGGGGGCTCTGCCCTGGGAGAGGCTCCCGGGGAGCAGCGGGCAGGGCCCGGCTGGAGGTTCCCCTCTCCCGGCTGCAGCCCGGGCTCCGGGCTCCCAGCACCAGCCGCCGGGGCGCGGGGATCTCGCCGGGAGCCAGAGTCCCCGCAGCGGCTGCGAGTCACTTCCTCCTGCCGGGGACTGACCCCAGCGATCGCTCCCCCCAGAGCCGCCCCCCAGCTGCTCCTGGGTCCTAGCGATCAACCCACCGTGCTGCAAAGAGAAAAAGGAGGACTTGTGGCACCTTAGAGACTAACCAGTTTATTTGAGCATAAGCTTTTAAGCAAAAGCTCATGCTCAAATACATTGGTTAGTCTCTAAGGTGCCACAAGTCCTCCTTTTCTCTTTGCGAATACAGACTAACACGGCTGTTACTCCGAAACCCACCGTGCTGCAGCGTTTCTGGTCACAGGCTACAAGCAGGGCTGAAGAAGAGGTGTTGTTGTCTGGACGGGCTGAGCCAGACTTGTAGGAGACACAAGGCGAAGGGAGAGAGAGGAGAGAGCAGAACTAAGGTGGGGAAGGAAAATGATGCGTGAGGGGAAGGGTGATAGCACAACCCCAAGTCACATGCCAGGGATGGTTCAGGATTTAGCCGAAGCTTGTGGAATAGAGGATGTCGGCTGGTTCCCCCTCTCTGGTTAGCCCTGCTCAGGTCGTCTTTCAGCAGCAGGATGATGAGAGCCTAATGGTGCCATGCTGGGCCCCAGGAGACAGTGGGTGTGAGACACCCCAGGATACAGTCTGTTGAACTGCTTAGTTCTCCATCCCAGGGCATCTTTCACACTGCTTCCCCCTTCAAACAACAAACCCCTTCAGGCTCTTCTCCCACACAGCCACCAGCCTTCAAAGTCACTCCCAGCTATACAGGACTGAGTGCCACTAGCCAGCCACTCATGAAGTAAACTACAGAGCAACATAAACCAATTCACTAGTCCCAGCCTTGCACCCCAGAAATGTGAGTCTTGTACTGCCCAGTCTGTGCACTGTGCTGTCCAAGCTCTTTAATTCATTTGTCCTCCCCACAAAGGATGCTGGTCAGGCAACAGCCTTGTTATCTGAAGTGAAATTCCCCAAACACTTCGAATAAAACACACTGGTTTGGATAAAACAACAAAACAAGTTTACTAAGGAGAGAAAGGTAGATTTTAAGTGGTGACAAGTGATAAAAGTGTAAAAGGTCCAATTTGGTTACAGCAAAAATAAATGGTCAACATGCATTTTAAGTCCTACATTTTATCGACCTAAGTAAGATGTGAAGCAAACAGCTTTTCTCACCCGACCCGATGTTGCAGGCAGTTCACAGTTCTTAGTACCCAGACTGGATTTCCTTCCAGCACTTGGTCTCCAGTGCGCCTGTTGTCTTTCAAGGCACTTTGTTGCCTTCCAAAAGATGGGGGAGGAGAGGTAAAAATGGAGGCCACTCTCCCTTGTTTTTATACCATTCTCGTCTTCAAGGTTAACCCCCAGCTGGCGGGCAGGCGACAATCTGTCTGTGGCACACATGAGCTTCCAACCATTCTTCAGGTGAAAAAACTGTAGTACCCACCTACTGAAGTGAAGAAACAGATTGACAGAGCCAGAAGAGTACCCAGAAGTCTCCTACTACAGGACAGGCCCAACAAAGAAAGTAACAGAACACCACGAGCCGTCATCTTCAACCCCCAACTAAAACCTCTCCAGCGCATCATCAAGGATCTACAACCTATCCTGAAGGACGATCCCTCACTCTCACAGATCTTGGGAGACAGGCCAGTCCTTGCTAACAGACAACCCCCCAACTTGAAGCAAATACTCACCAGCAACAACACACCACACAACAAAAACACCAGGAATCTATCCTTGCAACAAAGCCCATTGCCAACTCTGTCCACATATCTATTCAAGGGACACCATCATAGCACCTAATGATGTCAGACACACCGTCAGGGGCTTGTTTACCTGCATATCTACCAATGTGATATATGCCATCATGTGCCAGCAATGCCCCTCTGCCATGTACATTGGCCAAACCGGACAGTCTCTATGCAAAAGAATAAATAGACACAAATCAGATGTCAAGAATTATAACATTCAAAAACCAGTCGGAGAACACTTCAATCTCCCTGGACACTCAATCACAGACCTAAAAGTCACAATTTTTCCACAGGTTTCAGAGTAACAGCCGTGTTAGTCTGTATTCGCAAAAAGAAAAGGAGGACTTGTGGCACCTTAGAGACTAACCAATTTATCTGAGCATAAGCTGTAGCTCATGAAAGCTCATGCTCAAATAAATTGGTTAGTCTCTAAGGTGCCACAAGTCCTCCTTTTCTTTTTGCAAATTTTTCCACAAAAAACAACAAAAACAGAATCCAATGACAAACTGCAGAACTGGAATTAATTTGCAAACTGGACACCATTAAATTAGGCTTGAATTAAGACTGGGAGTGGACGAGTCATTAGGCAAACTAAAAACTATTTCCCCATGCTAATTTTTCCCCTACTGTTACTCACACCTTCTTGTCAACTGTTGGAAATGGGCCATCCTGATTAGCACTCCAAAAGCTTTCTTTCTCCTGCTGATAATAGCCCACCTTAATCGATTAGTCTCCTTAGAGTTGGTATGGCAACCCCCATTTTTTCATGTTCTCTGTATATCGAATCTATCTATCTATCTTCCTACTGTATTTTCCACTGCATGCATCCAGTGAAGTGGGTTTTAGCCCACGAAAGCTTATGCCCAAATCAATTTGTTACTCTCTGAGGTGCCACAAGTCCTCCTCGTTCTTTTTTGCTGATACAGACTAACGCGGCTACCATTCTGAAACCAGTACATTTCTTATTCACAACTCCCCTGCTGGTGAATGGCCGGCTAAGCCATCAATGGACACTTAGCACCTGGCTCTGAGGAGCTAGTCTTTCACATTTACAGAGCACCTGGCTCTGAGGGCGTTTTTCAGCTTTACAGCATGTTTCAGTAACAAACATGTTGCAAAATCTCATAACTCCATACCCAATGTTAATACATACATTTTAACAGAACAATAATGTTCAGCAGACAATGACTTTTCATATGATACCTCACAAGGCATACTTTGTAGAAGTTTTATCTTCATTTTATAAAAGTGGTGACCATAATAGTGTAGAGCAGCGGTTCTCAAATTCATTGAATCGGGCCCCCTTCTTTGTGTCTGTCGCAATTTAAACCCCCAACCCCACAAGTACATATATACCTTCTCCTATATTTTCCACTCCATGCATCTGATGAAGTCAGTTCTAGCGCAGGAAAGCTTATGCCCAAATCAATTTGTTAGTCTCCAAGGTGCCACAAGGACTCCTCATTGTTTGAGCTTTTCGCTGACACCCTTGAAGGCATGTTGGTGCAAATATTATTACACTAGTGTGCAGGGCATGAATTCAGGGGTGCTTGTTATACTAATAAAATAAAAACCAGCAGGATCTTATAAAAGGGGAAAAAGCAAAATACCACATTTATTGTGAATACAGAAAGAATCATAGTAAGCAGTTAGTTATAGCTATAACATTCCATTCAGTCTCATATTTATTCACACATTCATTCATACAAACACACACACAGGTTCTGCAAGGTTGTTATCATAGTTACCACCCTTAGAGTTGCTCATGCCAAGCCACTGGCCAGGTGGCCTGGACATGAGCAGGGAGCAGGGCCTTGTCAGATGCTCATCTGATGCTCCTGGAAGTTGGTTTGCAGAATCAGACCCCCCAAAATTCTCACTTTCTAGAGTCCATTTTTATAGGAATTTCTTCCTATGCCAGTATATGGGAATTGCTTCATCATGCTGTTGCTGAATCAATCAGCAGATGTCACATTTCCTGAGGGCTCCGTGCTGCCAGATGTTGTCTTGTTCTTTGGTTCTCTCATTCTTGAGGCTGTTGGGTGGATTCCAGTCTGCCCTCCGGGGGTCCTCTGGTTATTTCCACTTGACGCCTTCTTCAACCCATGGACACTGCATTCTTAGGCTGGCACCTCCCTGATCATTCAGTTATTATCCACACCAAGCATCCATCCACATACATCCTCTATCTCTATTTTAATCACAATTGTTAATACAACAAAAGGGCGGGGAGTCTCTGGGTGCTGTTTCTGTTGTTACAGAGTATTGCTTTGAGTCTGTCTCTGTGTGAATTGCTTTGAGAACAGACTCTGTCTTAGAATGTACTAACGCAATTAGCAGCTTGCAAGTTTCACACATAGAGGGAGAGATACAGTACCAAAAACCAAGAGAGCTCTTAATTAGTAGTACCCTGGATTTTAAACTATGGGGAATCAAACTCATTTGTGATTTTAATACAGAACTTCTTTAATATGATCCAACCTGCTGCGGGTGTGATTAGAGTGTTATAGACCTTTTCACTTTCAGGGTGATGACAGGAGAAAATACTGATGAGCTCAAGTGAGATTCAACCAAGAGCAAACAGGCCACAGCTTGTTACCAGCACACAAGCTGCACCTGGTCATCACCCAGGGTGTGACCATAATTCTGCTTCTCCCTGGGGAGGGGAGTTAGGAACTTAGATGTTCAGCAGGACACAACAACAATGGGGAATAGGCCGGCACGTCCCTCTGATGAGAGCTGGGGTTTTACTCTGACATGTCACTGGCTAGCCTGTGCTCTGTCTCTTGTGCTGGCTGTAGCCACATAAATCAGGAATTCCTCAGCTGCGTGCCATAGAGTGCTGACTCTTTAGCTTGGTTCCCGTGTGGATTGAAATGTATTCAAAGCTGGGTAAAGACATATGAAATATTTTGCATTTCTCCTGCCCATCAGCATTAACTGCGGTGGCCATGGAGGTGTTAAAGGGCAAAACCTGCTCCAAGAGACGGTCTCTGAGGATTTGTCTGCACTAGGATGTTGATTCTCTTTCTCTTATTGTAAACTCATACTGTAGATCAGGGACAATTTTTTTTTTTTTTGTCAGGGTCCTAATTTCTTGGTCAGGGTATATTCAAGGTCCACATTCCAGAGAAAACAATACAACAATAATAACAATAATGATAATAAAAGATTTTGCAGTCTGTTCAAAAGTGTCTGGAGATCCAGATTTGTCCCCTGGCCCACCTATTGACCAACCCTGGTGTAGACAATGCAAATGGTAGTTTCACCTCAGTGTAACTGGTAGAGAGGAACACTATGGGGTGGGGTGCATCTCGATCAGGTACAACAAGGTGAAGCTGTGACTTACCTTGTCTCCAGCAGGCTTGTACAAGATCTGTTTCTCATGTTTGGGGACCCTTAGTTAAAAAAAACCCTCTTTTCTCTCAGCATGCACATGGCCTAAAAGGTGGGATCTAAAGGGAAAAAGCTGGAGACACAGGACTGTGTGACTTTATTTTGGGGGCGATCCCAGTTCAAAGGGCAAGGATGCAGCATCTGGCTGCCAGAGAGCACAAACCTGGAGAAGCTAAATCACAGAGAAGAGCCATTTCCAGCTACAACAATGGAGCTAATCACTTAATCACACTGTGATTCCAGGGCAGAAACAATGGCCAGAATCTCACTGGCTGTCACCTAGCAAAGCTGTGTTGACTTTGCTGGATCTAGGCTGATTTACACCAGCTGGGAACATGGCCCCATGCTTTATGTATTTCTTTTACATGTGGGAAGTTGAAAACCTACTTTAAGCACTCGGCTTTAATCATGGAGACCCTCCCAGTACCTACAGAATCCTGACTTTATCTGTTTTGTGTATTTAGACAAGAAGCTCTGTCCCTTAGGCGCTGTCTCTCATGCTCTGTATATAGACTACCATGCTGAGCAAAACAGATCTTCGGTCTTGGGTGCAGCTTCTAGCTGCTACCGTATTAAAAATAATCTTGGTATCCATAGGAACAATTACTTTGCAGTCAGAGAAGAAGGAAACTGGGGAAAGTTGTGGTGTGAGGAACAGACCGAATATCAGTAGAGAGAAACCCCCAAGCCAAGCAAACTAAATTCCCAATCCTGCAAAATCTTACACGTTTCATTGTACTACTGCACTGCTAATGGCCCCATTGCTTTCAAGAAGAAAAGGAGTACTTGGGGCACCTTAGAGACGAACCAATTTATTTCCATGTGTCTGAGATAGAACGGGGCAGATGGTAGGGCTGCTCCGGGCATTGCTACTGCTCCGGACCAGGAGCAAGGCAGAGTGAAGATTCCATCATCTTCCTCTGCATCCCCCACTCCTGAGTCAGGGCTTCCTGCCGGAGATCAGCAGGATCAGAGGCATTAGAAGGGCCACAAAAGGTATGGGGCATGTCTCGACTTTTTGAGGGGGAGAAAATCTTCCTCATCCGTGAGTCTTCAATGTTCCTCCTGTGGTTGTCCCTCTCACAACCGGTAGCCAGGGACCATTTAGGGGAAACTAGTGACTTTCACAAGGGTGCTAAATGTCCTGCATGGAGCTGCACAAACTTTAGCAGCTATGGGAACAGGTTACTGCCATGGCCTGGGCGGGCAAGAGATAGGAAGTGGCACCTGCAGGCCCTGCTCCATAATTGCGTAAAGGTCCGAGATCTTTGCATTATTGTGAGAACTCCTGCAGCAGGAGCCAAAATCCACTTCCTTTCCATAAATATGCACGGGTGGGCAGTGCCGTCCTAGTCACACTACATTGGGAGTAGGCAGGAGGAGATCAAAAAACAGGTGGGCTTCAAAAGAAATTGTGATTTCGTCTTTTGTAAGAATGGCGTGATTTTTCAGCCAATATCACGATTTTGGGGGGTCTGACTCATGATTTTTGAAGTGTTGGGGTGACAATACCACTCTCTATGTGTGAGTATTGTTCCTGCTAACACACTTAAAGGCCCATGGTCTGGTTTTCCTCTCACAACAACTTCACACTGGTGTAGACAGTTCAAAGGGTTCCAGTGGGATTACTTCTGGTTTACACCAGGGTGAGGGAGAAGATAATGACCCCGGAAACCCAGTCAAACTCTTCCTCATTTGTACTGGGGTCAGGGAGAGGGGCAACAGATTGCAGACAGTTGTATCTCTATGGGAAGTTAGACAGAGTCTGCCACAAGGCAGGCGTGAGGCTGGCTGGGTGACCTCACTGAGCATTCCCATCCCAGACCACATCTGCATTGCTTTCACTTTTAACTTCCACTCTGAATCTGGTGGGTATTTAATGCAAAACGAAGGAGACTGGCAGTGGGAGAAACTAAATGCTACTTTATTATTCCAAAGGACGAACAAAGACAGACTCCATTCCCCACCCCCAGCCCAGCTCAGGGAGGTACTTTTCAGTTCCATCCCAGCACACTGCCACGCCCAACTCTCACAAGAACCAAAAACAGAGCCACACCTATAAATGATAGAAAAGTGGTGAGAAGCCAGGAGAGACACTGGGACCCCATCACAAAAGGAAACACTCTGAGAGCAGGAAATCCAAAGATCTCAGAAAGGAGGGATGAGTGTGGGGTGAGTGGGGCAGAGACAGTTTCTCTCGTCCCCACACAGGACACCGCGGCAGATGGGGAGGTGGTGACTAGCAGGGCTCTAGGGCTCCTCATCTCCCTCTGGCCTCAATGCTAGGGGTTGGCCTGGTTTCAAGGCTGCCCAGGTCTGTTGACATCCCTGGCTCCCTTCTTGCCTGTGCCCAACCTCGGCACCTCAGCAATAGGGGGACGCTGCCCCCTCCCCCAATCATTTTTGCGGTTTCGTTCATGGTCCTTTAGATTGCAGGGGAAGCTTCACACAACACTCAGGTCAGGTCTAGTGTCTCTCTGGCTCTAGTGCCGTGAGTTCTCAGCCTCAGCCGTCTGGCTCTGAAGAGCAAACCCAGCCATTTCCCAGCTCTGTTCTCACCTCCCACCCTCTTCTCCTCCTGACGCTGCGGCTTGGTCTGCGCTCACAACCTACGTCAGTTGTGAAACTCCACACCCCCAAGTGACGCAGCTGGACCAACCTAACTTCTGGTGTAGACAGCACGATGGCAACAGGAGGACTTCTCCCATCGACGTAGCTGCCCCCTCTTGGGGAGGTGGGTGACCTACGCCGATGGGAGAACCCCTCTCCTTGGTCCACGTAGCGTCCCCCTCGAAGCGCAAAAGCTGCATCAGTGCAGTTCCGCCGCAGCAGCCTCTGAAGGGTGGCTGGGCCCTAAGTCACGTCACTGCAGGAGTCAGGCAGCGATTTCATTCCCCGTTTCCATCTCTGCCTCTCGGACGTGACGCGAGATGGCACCCTCAGTGTATGTGCTGAGGCACACAGACCTTTGCCATTGTTCAAATAAAACAAAGTTCACATCACAAAGGGTAGAATACGGTTAAAATAAAATAAAAAAGGACTATTCTGGCAAATGATTATTTGTCTCATTAAGTCCTCAATAAATCTGAGCTACATCCAAACTAAGCTCATATCAAAGTCTGTGACCAAACGGCCTTCTGGAATAGAGAAAAACCCACACTCCAGGGTGGGCTATAAAACACTTTTACATTCATAAAGTGAAATCTCAGAGAATCTGAAGACTCAAAATCAGGAAAATAAATATAGCCATTTTCTTCTGAAATGGCTAAACCAACTTCACTTCTTGCCTAATAATTTGGTTGTATTAGCTACAAAAGTTTTAGCATCATCATAATAAAAGAAAGAAAAGAAAACAAAGGCAAAAAAACTTCCCATCTACAAATGGTCTGGACTAGCCCAGAAAAAGTCTGGAAGCAATTTCACCAATAGATGGAAACAGATCAGAAAGGTCAAACTGTGCTTTGAGGTTCTTTGGGATTCCTCCTTTCCCCTCCCTCGGAGGTCTGTGACACTTTCTTCTCCAGCCCTCCGAAGTCTCACGGAGGATCATAGAAATCAAAACTGATTTTTAAGCATCTAGAGCCAGGGACACGGTGGTAAATGATACCTTAGGAGGCAGAGGGGTAGAACGGGGACAGGATAAAACTCTCCATTGCTGGAACAGAGGCTGCTGTGTCGAGAGTGGAACATGACAGTGATGGGGGAAGGAGAGAAACCCTTGGACTCACCCTATTGCCCTGGAATAGCACAGAAGCTAAAACACGATATTTTGCTATCCCTGCCCCCACTTTTTTAGCATCTGTTTAGTTCTGCTCCCTAAGGGAGAAAAATATACAAACACTCAATGCTTTTCAGCACGGCCTGGAGTAATGTGAGACTGGCTGGGAATGAGACAATCCGGCCCCAAAGCGGGAACTCAGGGACTAACGATCACTCTGCTCATGGCGAGGATCAGACTAGATAATATACTTCAGGGTCAGTGTGACTAGAAAGAGTGTTGGAGAGTCAGGGGAGACGTGCTAGGTAATTCCAACAATTTTCCTACCATAGACAGACGTTCAGAGGCTGATGCTGCGAAGGCAGAGGTGGGAACTCCAGGCCTCCCACAAAGGGCCCTGTGGAAATCAGCCCCTCCCAGTGCTGCTGTCTGAATGCAGCGGGGGCAGGGAGAAGGGGCAGAAGGGAAGAGCGACGAGAGGTAGCACCTCGCTACCCCTGTGCTCTCCCTCGCCTCTTATCCCATCATCCCCAAACACTCGATAGCCCCAGCACCCAGCTCCCCCTGCTTCCCAGCTCCCCCAGCCCCAACCATTCAATCCTCAGTGTCCTCCCCAGAACCCATCAGCCTGGTCCCTCAATATTTGATCCCCCAGAGCCCAGTGCCCTGGGGGATTCAGGGAGGGGAGGAGTAACCAGCCCCAGGGACACTACCCCTGCAGGAGACAGTTCCAGGTAAGTGGGGGAGCCCAGCCCAAGGGGTGGTGGAAGATGGGGGGTGGGGAAGGGTGTGTAGAGTGAAGGTGGGGTCTGGCCCAAGTGTCCTTCTCCTCATCTCCGTGGCAGGGGGATCCCGGCTGGGAGGGGAAGGGAGAGGTGGGAACTTCAGCCAGGCAGACGGAGCAGCTGGAGGAGTTTCTCTCTTTCCTTTCCCCCATGGCCCATCAGCTCAGCAGCCAGGGCTGTAGCAGGGAGAAGGGGCTGATCGGGGCTTCTCCCTCTCTTCCTGGGGTTTGCTTAGACCAAGCAGAGCCAGAGGGTCACTGACTAGCTGATGATCAGCTGCTGCTGGATCCTCACCCCAGTGATGGGCAGCTGGGTCCTTGGGAGCCAAATGCCCCTGATGTGTCTGGGAATGAGGAAATTGATTACTATGGCTTAGTCAGAGCCCTGAGAAAATTTCCGTGCTGTGTGCAGGAGTCTCTCATGTCCAACATTGTCTTAGCTCCACTTGGAGCATTTTCCACACTGAGAACATCTCAGAGGTTTCTTCCCTATGTAGATTTGCGGGTGCCTGATACTCCGGGAGCACCAAATGAACCATCCCTCACATTCAAGCTCTCTCTTTTGTGTGGATCACTAATGTGTGAGCTCAGATTGAATCTCACACCTTTGTGGATTCTCCCATGTTTAATGAGGTTTGATCTCTGTGTGAAACTTTTTCCACAGTCTAAGCACTTATGGGGTCTTTCTCCCGTGTGGGTTACCTGATGTGTTATCAGGCATGATCTTTGTGTGAAACTTTTCCCACAGTCCAAGCACTTATGGGGTCTCTCTCCTGTGTGGATTCTCTGATGTAAAACAAGGGCTGATCTGTTTGTGAAACTTTTCCCACAGTCCAAGCACTTATGAGGTCTTTCTCCTGTGTGGATCCTCTGATGTGTTATAAGGGCAGACTTCCACCTGAAACATTTCCCACAGTTGAGGCATTTCTGAGGTTTGTCTCCAGTGTGAATTCTGTGATGTGCAACAAGATGAGAACTCCCAATGAAACTTTTCCCACACTCAAGGCATTTATAGGGTCTTTCTCCCGTGTGGGTTCTCTGATGTTGAGTGAGTTGTGAGCTGCACCTAAAGTTTTTCCCACAATCCAAGCACTTATGGGGTCTCTCTCCTGTGTGGATTCTCTGATGTGTGATAAGATCGGACTTCCAACTGAAGGAGTTCCCACACTCGAGGCATTTATAGGGTCTGTCTCCTCGGTGTATTCTCTGATGCCTTGTAAGGGATGATCTCTGTATGAAATTTTTCCCACAGTCCAAGCAGTTATGGGATCTCTCTCCTGTGTGGATTCTCTGATGTGTTATAAGGCCTGACTTCCAAAGGAAACTTTTCCCACACTCCAAGCATGTATAGCGTCCCTCTCCTGTGTGGACTGTCTGATGTGTAACAAGTGCTGATCGCTGTGTGAAACTTTTCCCACAGACCAAGCACTTATGGGGTCTCTCTCCTGTGTGGATTCTCTGATGTATTATAAGGGCTGACTTCCAACGGAAACCATTCCCGCAGTAGAGGCATTTATAGGGTCTCTCTCCTCTGTGGATTCTCCGATGGTTAGTAAGGTTTGTGCTGTTACTGAAGCTTTTCCCACACACCAAGCATTTATATGCTCTCTCTCCTGTGTGGACTGTCTGATGTCTAATAAGGTGTGATTTCTGCATGAAACTTTTCCCACAGTCCAAGCACTTGTGGGGCCTCTCTCCGGTGTGGACTGCCTGATGTGTAACAAGGCCTGATCTCCATGTGAAACTTTTTCCACAGTCCAAGCACTTATGGGGTCTCTCTCCGGTGTGGATTGCCTGATGTGTAATAAGGCCTGATCTCCGTGTGAAATCTTTCCCACAGTCCAAGCACTTATGGGGTTTCCCTCCTGTGTGGATTCTCTGATGCATAATTACTGCTGACTCCCCACTGAAACGTTTCCTGCACTCGAGGCATTGATAGGGATTCTCAACCGTGTGGCTTCTCCCATGGTTATTAAGATCTGAGCAGTTATTGAAGCTTTCCCCACAGTCCAAGCATTGAAGGGATTTCTCTCCAGTATGGATTGTCTGATGTATCACAAGGTGTAATCTCAGAATGAATCCTTTTCCACACTGGAGACAGTGGTAGGGTTTCTCTTCCTTGGGATTTGTCTGCTGGGCTGTGGGATCCTTGTCTCCTCCCCCACATTTAATAGATTCATCCACTTTCTTCTTTGAGTGGTATCCCAACAGCCTCTCTGACCTGTGCCAATTTCCCCAGGCTTCTCCCTGTTCCCAGCACTGGGAAAAATTCCCTTCAGCTCTTCCCACAAAGGTCCCCTGTGGTTCCACTTTCCCAGGGACTTCCTCATGATGATTCCCTTCCTCCTTCTCACTCATTGTCACATCACCTGCTGGGAGAGAGAGACAATCCAGACAGGAGTCATTGTGCTGGGGAGAAAGAGGAATGGCACCGAGGGAAAACCCAACACACTCAAGTTGCAAAGAATCAGCAACTGGATTCTGTCTCTACTTCCCACCCAAACACTCACGCAGAAGGAAAGTTGGGAAGGAAACTCCTGCAGCTAACAGGATGGGTGGAAAGACATGAGCAATATCTACTGACTACAGCCCTACTCTGGCTGAGATGAGGAGCAACTGAGGGCTCTTACTCACACCACATTTCTGGGATTCTCAACTTTTTCCTTAATTCGCCCGATGGTTTCTGTCAGTCCTCACCTGTGCAGGTGCCTCTCTGGATCTCTCTTTCATCACAGGCCTGGAGATCTGGGACCCAAGGCCCTTCCCCTCGTTCCAGCCGGGCAATCAGGTCAGGTTTGGGAAAGGGAAATCCTGCGCAGGGGATGAAATCAGACCAGATCAGGTTGCATGGAGGATTGGGAGAGTGTCTGTCACAAAGGACAATCCGTGAATGGAACCTGTCCCCGTGCTGTGCTGGGAGAACGTGGAATCCAAAGGGATGGGAACATGGTCACTGAGCCCCCTTGGGAGAGGCAGATGTCTGGGGAGGTGGAGAGAATTTTTACACCTTCGCTAGGAGTTTGCAGGATCTGTGCACTCTGGGGCCCTTGCTGATGCACACACAGCTCTGGAGTTACCCCTGCAGAGCCCAGAGCCCTCCCCAGGGCTGGAGCTAGTCCCAAGGAGGGAGGTGAAAATGTGTTCAAATGAGAAACAATACACACAGGACAATACACGGCATCTTGGCCTTGAAAGCTGGAGGGGTGGGAAGGGTTTAGCATGTCCATTAGGTTTTGACACTCTGGTCCCATTGGAGGGGGCTGGAGATGCAGGTCTCTCTCACATGGCAGCTATGGACTATGGAACCCATTCCCCTCTCATCTAACTGACCAGGGAAGAACCTGAACAGAGTCAGAAATGCAGGCCAGAAACTTTCTAATAACCGAGGGGACAGGGATCCCTTACCCAGCGAGGTCACTGTCTCGTAGTTCTCCTGCATGACGTCCCTGTAGAGGGCTCTCTGAGCGGGGTCCAGCAGAGCCCCCTGCCCCTGCGTGAAATACACAGCCACCTCCTCGAAGGTCACCAGCATCTGGAACAACAAGAGTCCCCCCTCAGCGCCTGCTGCCCCAGCCACAACCCCACTGGTCATACGGGAAAGGAAGAAGAAAAAATAAACATCTTGGAAGCTCTGGGAGGCTCAGAAAAGCAGAATCCCACCTACCCCCTGTTCAGAGCAGCCAGGAAGGTTCAGAGGGTGGGGAGGTGAGAGCTCCTTGTCCCCCCCAGCACACAGAGCAGGGCAGCGTCTTCTCATTTCCCACCCGCCTGCCAGCCACAAGCTGATACAGGAAGCAGAGCTCTGAGCCGGGGCCAGGGACAGGAATCCCGACAGCTTCCCTTCGTATTCCACAGCAGCCCCTCACTCGTGGGTTCAGGCTCCAGCACCGGGAGTCTGGAAAATGTTCCCAGGCCTGCCAAGGGGGGTGTTTCCTGGTTCAGAAATGTGGGAATGTTTCCCCCCTCCCAATAGGCCAGCTCAGAAAATCAGCAGGTTTATCACATCCTGTCTCCTCCCGCCCAGCAGCTCCCTGAAAAGCCCTACCTGAGCTGGCTCCATCACAGCCATTTCCCTTCCCTGTCTCCTAGGTTGATCTGGAGCGAAATGTGGATGTGATTCCTCAGCCTGTCAGGGCGAGAGGGTCAATTGGGGAGGGGGGGGGGTCAGAAGGGGCTTGAGTCCATTTCACACCCCGATTCCCCCCAGGCTCGTTCCCTGCAGACAGATCCTCTGGACTCTGCCATGCTGGGAAGAAACCCAGTTAGTTTATTACCACCCAGGCCAGGCCCCTCCCAGCAGAACTAAGCCCCCCAGAGCAGTTTTAAACTCTCCCCGTAACAGCATCTCTGTGTCAAACTCTAGAAAAAGAGCAGAATCAAAGGAGCGACTTCGAGGGATTGCCCTACAGCGTAGTGCGGTCATCACCAAGCGGTGGACCCTGGAGCCTCTGAGAGTCAATCGCGATCACCGGCCGCTAACTGTCCGGCGGTGCAGCGGGGCTAAGCCCTTGGCCCATGCCACTCCCGGAAGCAGCCGGCATGTCCCTATGGCAGTGCAGCCCCTGGGGGGAGGGGGCAGGGGGTCTCAGCTCCCTGCTCCTGTCTGCAGGCACTGCCCATGCAGCTCCCGTTGGCCGGGAGTGGGGAACTGCACCCAATGGATGCTGTGGGGGCGGTGCCTGCAGAGGGGGGCAGAGAGCGGAGCTATGTGCCCCCCCCGCCACACACAAGGGCCACAGGGATGTGCCGGCCGCTTCCAGGAGCAGCATGGGGCCAGGGTAGGCAGGGAGCCTGCCTTAGCCCTTCTGCACCGCCGCCCGAGTTAAGCGTCACCCGGTTGGACCCTGTACCCCGCACCCCCTCCCACACCCCAGCCCCAGCCCAGAGGCCCCTCCCATAGCCAGCACCCCAAACCCCCTGCCCCAGCCCTGAGCCCCCTCCCAGAGCCTGCACCCCCCACCCCCTCCTGTACACCAACTCTCTGCCCCATCCCAGAGCCGCCTCCTGCACCCAAACTCCAAACCCCCCCCTCCCAGAGCATGCACCCCTCACATCCTTCTGCACCCTAACCCCCTGCCCCAGGCTCAGCCAAGAGCCCCCTCCCATACCCCAAACCCCTCAGCCCCAGCCCAGAGCCTGCACCCCCTACAGCACCCCAACCCCCACCTCAGCCCGGTTAAAGTTAATTAAATTAAATATAATATAATTATAATATAATATAATATAATATAATTAATATAATTAATTATAATTAAATTATGTCTTGTTATTTTGACAATAACATTTGCAGACTTGTACAATATTGTTTGCAGACTTTTTAATTTTTTGGAGCAAACTGACCCCAGGAGTAAAGCTTGGCACAGAGAGCTTGGCTGTATTTCTTCTGAGTCCTCCACATTCTTTCTTAAATGGAAATGGCCCAACTTGATTATCATACCCATTGTAAGGAGAGTGATCACGTTAGATAAGCTATTACCAGCAGGAGAGTGGGGTGGGAGGAGGTATTTTTTCATGCTTTTTGTGTGTATATAATAAGATCTTCTACACTTTCCACAGCATGCATCCGCTGAAGTGAGCTGTGGCTCACGAAAGCTTATGCTCAAATAAATTGGTTTGTCTCTAAGGTGCCACAAGTCCTCCTTTTCTTTCTTAAAACACTCCCCGCATTCCCCTCCCCATTAAATCCCAGTTCCTGAAAAGGGATTCCTGTTTTACAGGCAATTACCAGCACTTTCTTATGTTAATCACCCTGCCTCTGTTTGTCAACACAATACTGACTCTCTGCAGGACTCACATTCCGCACTGACTAAGAGCTCCACCTGGGACCACAGCGCCTTCATGAAACTCCTTGGGGGGTGGGCTGAGTCCTGCAATTGGCCCCCCTGCCCTCACGGCTCAGAAGCTCCACGGCAAATAGGCCACCCCCTCCCTTCCCGCATACCCACACCCTGCTCCCACCTTCTTATTTGATTTCTAATAAGATGAAGTGAGCTGTAGCTCACGAAAGCTCATGCTCAAATAAATTGGTTAGTCTCTAAGGTGCCACAAGTACTCCTTTTCTTTTTGCGAATACAGACTAACACGGCTGTTCCTCTGAAACCTAATAAGAGACAAACTCATGACCTTTGGGGGTCTGTTTCCTGAGTGTTCAGGGTTGCCCGGGCTGCCCAAGGCCCTGGGCTGATTTCTGTACAGGATTCAGATCTCAGCCACACCCGGTGTCAGACCAGAGTCACTGCTGGGTATGGCAGGGGCCGAGTGCGGATGAGCCAGTGGGATCAGCCTCCACCTTCCTGTCCCTGGGGGCTGCAGGGGGAGTCCAAGGCAGCTCATTCATCGGGTGTTGCCACCAGAGGGCTCCGGATATGGCTAAGGGAGAGGAGGAGGCAGGTGTGTGTGTGTGTGTGTCTGTCTGTCTCTCTCTTCCCTGCTCATGTTATTATAGCCCTGGAGTGCAGCTCCCCGGATCAGAAGCTGCCTCCTGCATTTAAACCTGGGAACCCAAAATGAGAAGCTGCTTCTTACCCAGCAGAGGAGAGACCTCTGTTAAAGCCCCTCTGTGCCCAGCCAAGGTGGGGAATTTCTCCGGCGACTGGAACCAGCCTCTGGGGCTCTGCTGACACCAGCTCCTGAACCGGAGCCTGCAGGTGATGGGGAGACCTGAGGGAAAGGGCTGGGGGTAGGCAGGAAAGTGACTCTGCACAAAGGGCCCCTTTTCTGGACCTGCTGGGGAGTTTGGCCTACATGGAGAGGGGGCTCCCTGTGTGTCTGCAAGTCCCAGAGCTGCTGCCCTCACAGACACAGACAGATTCAAACCTTTGTTAGCAGTGGCCGTGGCTGATTTGCCTAATGAGAGCAAAGGCCCACGTCAATGAGGCAGTCACCAGCTCTCCCAGGGAGAGGGAAGATGATAAAGAGGGAGAAAGGAGAGACTGGAAGGAGCAGCAGGAGCAGGAAGTAGGGAGGGAGATTCCCAGCTCCCAGACCTGCCCGGGTCCATTCCCTGCATTCCCCTGGGCAGACTGACTCTCCTGGGAACAAGGGGAGGAGCTGAGAGTGGAAAATCCAGTTCCTAACTCTGCTGAATACAGCCTTACTTGGAGGGGGGCTAGAGAGGGTTACACTACATCAGTGGTAAACCTTTTTTTATGCACAAGATCAACTTTTGAATTGAAGTGCAACCTGGGATCTATCCTACCCCTTCCCTGAGGCCCCGCCCCACTCCATCCCCCCTCCCTCCATCACATACTCTCCCACACCCTCACTCCTCACTTATATAATATATTATCATTATATATTAATTATATAATATTATATAATATATATAATATAAATATAATATATAAGTAAGTTAATTAAATTAATCATAATTTAAGGTCAGGCTTGACAAAGCCCTGGCTGGGATGATTTAGTTAGGGATTGGTCCTGCTTTGAGGAGGGTGTTAGACTAAATGGCCTCCTGAGGTCCCTTCCAACCCTGATATTCTATGATTCTATCAGGTGTGTTCATGCTCAGATTCTTAGGGTTGCAGCTGGACCCAGGCGAATTCCAGAACAAAGAACAGAAATTGCATCCTCTGAGTCTATAAAGTTGACAATTGTCATGATTTGTATTATTCAGTGGGCACCATCTGTGCGCTCAGCACAGTTCAGAATATGCCAGTAAATACAATCCCTGAGCCAGTGTGTATAAAATGTCAGGTTTCAGAGTGTAGCCCTGGATAAGATGACTCTGCTATTTAAGTAGGAAGTGCATAGTTATTCAGCACATGTTAAGATCTATAAGTGGAGGTGATGTTTTACTGGATTAAGGACTAGATTTGACCCTCCAACTTCCTTTCAAGAGGAAAAGCTGCCCAGAGCTCCTGGGCCTGTTTATTTTCCTTTCCTGCCTGCTGTGGCCTTGATACACCTCAGAAGTCTCATTTTTTCCCCCTCAGCTTTCAAATCTGGAATTTTCCTGGTGTTTGGTTTTAAATATTCTCCTGTGAGAACTGCAACTCAGTCATTATACTGTCGTGTTGAAGAGCCTTCTGGAAAGTAACTAGCCTTTAACCAAAAGTGAAAGCAGCATTGCCAACTCTCACGATTTTCTCATGAGCCTCAGGAGAATGATTGTTTTCCTTAAAGCCCCAGCTCCTGGAGTCAGGTGGAAATGTGATGATTTCAGCCTTCCTTCTTAAAGAAAAATGAAGTTTATCACCCTTGTGGCTGTGGAGAAAGCTTCAAAATGAGACCCCAGTACACCCGAAAGGCTCAAAAAGCAGAAGGCAATAAGCACCAAATCTATTATTTGTACACAGCCTCATGATTTTAAAGCCAATCTCACACTTCTGAACATTTGGAGTTGGCAATACTGGGAAAGGGACTTTAAAGTGTCAGTTTCACTCCTGTTTAGAGTCAGCTTCAAGTTAATTATTTGTAGTGGGGTAACACCCCTAGAGCCCCAGGCACCTGCCGTATAAACTCACGGGGTCTTGCCCTAGGAGGATGGTTCCGAACGTTAAATGATCTATTCCAAACTTGGTGAAC